TTTTGATGTATTTTTCACGCCGCTGTTGGCAACGCTGTGTGAGGAGAGGTGCGCCAAACTTTTGGATAAAGCTGATGATGATTATTATTATTAAGCCCGATGGATAATATACAGTGTGCTTTGGCACAGGCAGTTTTACTGCCTTGTGCCACAAAGCCACACTGAATAACAACATATATTAGGTGAGATTGTTAGGAAACACTTCTACGATTATTAACTAAATGAGACAACAGTAAAAACGACTGGCTGCATTTATATTATACCAGTGTAGTCGTAGCTTGTGTTAAAGACTACATTTCCCTGCTGCAAACAGGATGCTGCTAATTGTTCCCCCTTTCCTCCACTACATCATTACTCTGCATTCGTTTGATATGGCTTCGGTAAAAAGGAAAAACATGTTTGAAGAGATTTTCTTTCACATTCTTCAGCACCAGAAGAAGAGTGACATCTTCCTGTTTTAGTCCATGAAGCATCCCTCTATTGTGCTTCAGAGTCCAAACATTATCCGAGCCCAGCAATGTGTGGCGCTATGTAAAAGAGTTTGGCATCATTTGCTTACAATGATTATATACAGTTTTAGGAGTGGAGTAATGATTTCTATTGTTGCTCAAATAATACATGAAGCTCCACTGTAAATGCAAATGGTTGAGCGGGACTACCTCCGCTGCTTCCTCCTCCGCTGGTGCCTGTGTGCTTGGTGCTGGCACTGCGGCCCCCAGGGGCCCGCTGCTGGCCTTTGTTCTGGCCGCGAGAGGCCGAGTTTGGTTTGGAAATGGTATCGAGCTCCTGTTCAATGGTGCACAGGTCAGCCATCAGGGCGTCCAGGTCCACTGTGTCGCCCTGGTTCAACGCCTCTGCAGGGAGCAAAGATAAAAAGGATAGAGGAAGCACAGAGAAGGGGGGGGGGGGTTAATGATTTCTTTCATCTGTGCTGTTAAACAGATCGGGATCAGATGAGTGAAGACTCACCGTTTATGTTATACATGGAGAAGCGGTAGGAGAAGTTGGCCATGTTCGTCTCCTGCCTGAGAGGAGGCTTCTGCAGCGGTTTCTGAGGCTTGCCATCATCCAGACTCTACAGAGCGCGCACACACACACACACACAGACACACACACACACACACACACACACAGGCAAAGCATGAGGTACACATATGCAAA